CCTCAACTGCATTGGCACATCAACTGCTTCGAGTTGTTAGCAGTACATCTTGCGCTGGGCCGCTTCAAAACGTCGTTACTAGGCAAGCATGTACTGGTCCGTACGGACAACACTGCGACCGTCGCGTACATCAACCGTCAGGGTGGTCTACGCTCCCGCCGCATGTCACAACTCGCCCGCCATCTCCTCCTTTGGAGTCAGAAGCATCTTAAGTCACTTCGTGCCGTTTACATTCCGGGCCTGCTCAACCATGCAGCCGACGAGCTCTCACGGCAGCAGGTGCTACCGGGAGAATAGCGACTCCATCCCCAGGTGGTCCAGCTGATTTTCAGGCGCTTCGGGACCGCACAGATAGATCTGTTTGCCGCCCCGGACACGTCTCACTGCCAGTTGTTCTATTCCCTGACCGAGGGGACCCTCGGCACGGATGCTCTGGCACACAGCTGGCCCCGGGGTCTTCTCAAGTATGCGTTTCCCCCAGTGAGCCTTCTGGCACAGACCTTGTGCAAAATCAGGGAGGAAGAGGAGCAGGTCTTGTTAGTTGCGCCGTATTGGCCCAACCGGACCTGGTTTCCGGAACTAGTGCTCCTCGCGACAGCCCCTCCCTGGCCCATCCCTCTGAGAGAGGACCTGCTCTCTCAGAGACGGGGGACCCTGTGGCACCCGCGTCCAGACCTCTGGAAGCTCCATGTCTGGTCCCTGGACGGGACGCGGAGGTTCTAGGTGACCTACCCCCAGCGGTAGTTGACACCATCACTTCCGCTAGAGCCCCCTCTACGAGGCACCTCTATGCATTGAAGTGGAACCTATTCGTTGAATGGTGTTCTTCTCACGAGGAGAACCCCCGATCATGCTCGATCAGAGCCGTGCTTTCCTTCCTGCAAGATGGGTTGGAGCGAAGGCTGTCTCCCTCCACCCTTAAAGTGTATGTTGCCGCTATTGCCGCACATCACGATGCTGTTGATGGTAAGTCCTTGGGGAAGCACGACCTGATCGTTAGGTTCCTGAGGGGAGCGAGGAGACTGAATCCTCCTCGCCCACTCTCTATATCCTCTTGGGATTTGTCTCTGGTCCTTTCGGCACTTCAGGGACCACCCTTTGAGCCTCTGCAATCAGCTGAGTTAAAAATCTTGTCCTGTAAGACAGTTCTCCTGGTTGCATTGGCCTCTATCAAGAGGGTAGGGGACCTACATGCATTTTCGGTCGACGAATCGTGCCTGGAATTCGGCCCGGATAACTCTCACGTGATCCTGAGACCCCGGCCCGGATACGTGCCCAAGGTTCCTACCACTCCCTTCCGGGACCAGGTGGTGAACCTGCAAGCGCTGCCTTTGGAGGAGGCAGACCCAGCCCTGGCTTTTCTCTGTCCCGTCCGCGCTCTGCGTTTGTACGTGGACAGAACGCAAAGCCTGTTACTTGTACTCGTCTGTTACGGAGGCCAGCAGAAGGGAAAGGCTGTCTCCAAGCAGAGGATGGCCCACTGGATAGTGCCTTGCCCGCCCGGGTTGAGAGCCCACTCCACTAGGAGTGTCGCTTCTTCTTGGGCGCTAGCACACGGCGCCTCGCTGACAGATATCTGTAGAGCTGCGGGTTGGGCGACACCTAACACGTTCGCTAGGTTCTAAAGCCTACATGTTGAGCCGGTTTCTTCCTGTGTGCTCGCTTCAACCAGCCGGTAACACTGAAGTTCCCGCTCTAGTGTCGGCTTGCTGCGCCACTCCCCTCTACGGAGCGGATACGTGCGCTCTTTTGCTCCAGTTGAGTTCCCCACCCAGGTGAACCCTGTGAGTTCCTCCACACCCCTTCGGCAGTTGGACGTTGCGGAGCGTCCGACGCCAGGCCTAGTGCTCGTATGCTTGTGTAACTTGTGCTAGGCTGGGTTCCGTATGTGTGATCCCTGCGGCGATCCCATATGAGTATTTTTCCACGATCAGCTCCCTGCGGTGAGCCCGTGTCTTTCCCTTGGCAGAGCTCGCTCTGCTGTCACTGTCTGGTGTAGCCTCCCTCTCCTTAGGTGGAGCCACCCCAGTGACATTCCATATGTTGCACTGCCCCAACCGGCCAGTCCATATGTGTATTCTCCACATGGTACCTCCCTTCGGGCAGGATGTGGCTCCGCAGCGTCCCTCTCCCCTGGAGAGGCACGCTTCCCAGTGTTATTCAAGAGTTCACTGCGTGGGTATGTGGAACAGCAGGTTCTCCCTCTACGCAGGTCTTCCGCCCCAGCTTTGGGGGTCTGAGAGTCTTGCGTAGGGCACTGGATGTGGCAGCAACCGGTGGCGTTTTCCATGGGATCCCCTAACGTCGTCACGTCGAACGTGAGCGACTGAAGGGGAACATCTCGGTTACTGATGTAACCCTCGTTCCCCGAAGGAGGGAACGGGAGACGTGACGTCCCGCCGCCACAGTTGCTGACCATCGCTGTACGGCCGTCATTAAACTCGGCTCCTCAGTGAAAAACGGTGGGTGCTCGCGCCCGCTTCCTGTTTTATACCCGCGCTGCGGGGCGGGGGCGCGTGACGCGTTCACGCACGCCAACGTTCATTGGCTTGTTCTTAGATACTCGAAGTTAATAGGGCTCCCTGAAGTGATCCCCTAACGTCGTCACGTCGACGTCACGTCTCCCGTTCCCTCCTTCGGGGAACGAGGGTTACATCAGTAACCGAGACGTTTTGAGTAATGAAACTCAAAATCGAATCTTTTGCAGATTTTGCAGCTTTGAAACTCGAATCTTTTGCAGGTGTTTAGAGTTAATTAGTTGATTCAGATGATTAGGTTAATAGCTCGTTTAGAGACCCTTTTCATGATATGCTTTTTTTTTGAGACAGGAATTTTGGGTTTTCATGAGCTGTATGCCAAAATCATCAGTATTAAAACAATAAAAGACCTGAAATATTTCAGTTGGTGTGCAATGAATCTAAAATATATGAAAGTTTAGATTTTTATCATTACATTATGGAAAATAATGAACTTTATCACAATATGCTAATTTTTTTGAGAAGGACCTGTACATGCATCTACAAAAGCAAACAAAGATGAGATTCATCTGCGTTTGATTTGAAAAGATGGCGTCAGCCATGCAACCCACGTTTAGAAAATTGCATCTAAACTTCACAAAGTTCGTCACATAGACTCAACATCATTTTACATAATTGTTACATAACATCCACAAACTCCATTCTTAATGTTATTTGTGAAATTAACAAATATTTAGTTACAAAAACATTAATTTCCCCGGAGCACATTTTACCTACCACCATCTTCAGCATCGATAAACTTCTCTGCTGGAGGTAGGGGTGTGGTCTCACAGGTGAAAGGGCAAATGTCCACTAATTACTCATGTCGCCACAAGGGGGCACCAAACAGTTATTAAATAAAACAAAACAGTAATTTTGGTGAAAGACATAACATTTACAGTAACATTTTTTTCAACCCTGTTACATAAGTTTTATTATATTATACAACATATTTGACTGTATACTGAGTTATGTGTTTGTTTTGAGGTGTACTTGTTAGCTTATGTCGTGTGTTTGGTGTTATGTCTAGTTTATGTGTTTGTTTTGACGTGTAGCCTACCTGCCAACTTCTGTCTTGTGCGCTCGTGCGGTTTTTTGTGTGTCCTTTTTCAGTGTGTTCAAAGTTATATTACTCAATACCAGACTTACAGTGATTCTGACTGTTTAGGAACAAACCTCTGAGTGTCACCTTTCAAAAGAGACCAAAAGCATGCATATACTCCAAATGGTTCAAGAACACCATGCAATTTATTTTGGGTAGGCCTTTTTTAGGCGTTTTAGGCTAATATTGCAGGATTTATAAAAGGTAAATACAAGTACTATTCCATAATTATATTTAAGACATTCTATAATTGCAAACTGAAATAAAATTAATTACAAAAAGATAGTGATCAATGCCGTGGTTGCCATCATCGGTAAGTGGGTTACATGCAGCATGTAAACGGGTAACATTGTCAGCATTTAATGGAACTATAATTTGCTCATTATCTTCCAGAACTACAGGGCCATCATAGTCAATACCAAAGTCATCAGTTTCTTCCTGTGTGAGAAGCTCCAGATTTGGCTGCACCAACATACCCGTGTACCACATAGCCAGGGGTGTCATGGATTGGCCTGAACTTAAAGTATGGTGGTTCCACTGCTGGCAAAATGATCTCGCTGACCGCTGTATCCGCCCAAGATACACAAAATGCAAAGCCCATAAATGGACTTCACTTGTGGAGTCCAAGATTTCAGAGTGCTCCATGTACTGGAAAAGTTGCTTATTGAAGTCTGACACCACCCTATTGACATCACCCCAAAGGCATTCAATTCTCTGATTATGAACACTTCGGCCCACTATAAAACTCCCTCTTTCACTACCTCGATTATTTATCATGTACCAGGCAACTTCAATGTTCTCACCACCTCTGTCTCCCCTGACTCTGTAAGGCAAACCAAATCTTGCAACACCCTGCTGAAAAAAGGTAATTACTGTAGATGCTCTGTTGTTTGTACAGCACTCAAGGTAAATAACAGTTCGGCTATAACCATCAATGCACCCATGGAACACAAATCTCCATGCAATTAATTTGAAAATTGACATGTATTTTTGTCTGCATAATATGAGTGATACATACCAATGCCATTGAAATACATACCATAGATGATTTGGTCCTCTTACATTGTATACTCTCCTCCTAATTGCATGTCTTGTACGGATCATGGTTCCAACGGGTCAACTACTGCCAGTCGCTCCCGGACACGCCTTCTTTGAATAGAGAGTCCTCTACTTCTCAGACTTCCTACAATGCAATTGAACAATGTCAGCATCATCAGTATAAGCACACATTACATCAAAATGACACACGATGAGATATCATTAATATGTACATGCAGCCTACTTGCCTAGGACAAGTGTGACTCCAGCATTATGTGTTTGACAGATAATCGAACGAATCAGTGCATCGAGGTCAATGTCTGAAATAGTGCTAAAATTAGTCTCAATTCCATACTGAAGACGTCGTCTTCGTACTGTTCGACAGCTCACTCTCAAACAGGTAGAAATAGCTGTCCATGACATTCCTGTCTCTCTCAGCTAGGTCAACTGCTCTCTGGTCAGATCATACCTTGGTAAGGATATATATAAAATTGCAGACTTTTATTATTTAATTGTATTATTGAATGCACTCAGGAATTGCTGACAAGTGCTAATCATTGGTCCAATTGTGAATTTAGTTGAACACCTTTGTTCAGAATTTAAGAGTTTCTTTTAAGGAAACTTGTAGGGAGTGGGTTCCATTTTTGTTTGAAACTGCTTTTCTCCTGGTTATGTGTAGTCAAGGAGATAGGGAAGTTCATTTGTCATTTATTTTCTTTTTGTTTTATGTATAGGTAAGTCATGGTTAAAGCTAAGTTAGACACCTTTTTGTTTGTTTTGTTTGCTCCTGAAGCTTATGACTTTTATATTTTTCTTTTGATTCAATAAACACCAATTTAAGCTTATTTGTTCTGGATGTGTGCTACTGGGGCTGGAGACAAAAAAATCCTGTGCTATCTCTCCAAAATGTGTTCCTGTTTTGCCTATTACCCCAAGACTAAAAGAGGGCTACATTTATTTATAGCCACCCACAACCTAACCACAAGGTCTACTCTTCAGCATTTGTTCAACAAAACAAACTCAAATATAACTGAACATCAAACTTTAATTAAACTTTTTACTAAAAACAGCACTTAATTTTCACATTCTTCTGATCTATCTGAATGCAAAGCATGCTGGAAATGTCTGATAAATCATTAAAGCATACATTAAATATTTTTAGGTTTAATGTATGTTGGGGTAGCCTATCATCAGAAATGTTTATTAATAAAAAGACAAAGAGGAACATAATCACCTTGGTCGCCCACCGGACCTAGAGATCGATATTTGAATTGCTGGTGTGAGCTGGGGATGGAGGATTATTTCCAGTTGCAATAGCATTTCTGAGAGAGTGTCATGTAACTCTGATAGCATGGTCAAAATTTGATTATCCTATAGGAAAGGAGAATGTTAAATTTATATTATATTTTTCATACATTGGATTAATCATACTTATTTACAACTATTAATTACCTGAGAGTGTCTCAAATGGTCCAACATCCTGGATAAAATACGAGAATGCTCCTCCAATAACCTCTGACAGTGTTCCATGCTGTTAAAGGTCCCGTTCTTCATGTTTTTTTGAAGCTTTGATTGTGGTTACAGTGTGCAATATAACATTTGGTCATTTTTCACACAATTTACTTATCTGTATACCGCTGTTTTCACTGTCCAAAAAACGGGCTGATGACTTCCTTGTTCTATGAAGTCCCTCCTTCAGAAATACGTCACGAGTTCTGATTGTGCCAGCGGTTCCTGTGTTGTGATTCGACAGCAGCTTATCGCACGTTGCCCGGAAAGGGCACGCCTCTTACCATAACGTGGAGATGCATGCGCAAATTTTCGGGAACCGAGTTAAACATAAATTGTAACCATTGATCTCTAAGCACAGCGTCCCTGGGAAGGCCAAACAAAGGTGAATTGACTCCGGCATAAAAATAGCAGTGTCTCGACGACATGGCGACAAACACACTCTACAAACGAAACTCTTCCTCTTCTCCGTGGAGCGCAACAAGACAACACCCCTTTTTTTGTATTCCTAGGCGGAGATTAGTCAAAAAACTGTTTTAGTGACGTCATTAAAACGGAAGTAGAGGGATGTAGTCCAAACAGCTGTAGGCTTTGAAAGGGGACTTCTGTTAAATAAAATATCTCGCTAGGCATTGAACTTTGAGCTTTATAATTTTACAGGTATTATTTATGCTCTAACAGCTACATTACACACTAACTAAAGTTTGAAAAATGGAATCACGAAGAACGGGACCTTTAAAGTTTCTTGAGAGCATACTTTCTTCGTACAATATCACACACACGTTTATGTCAGTAAAATATCGTTGTACATCATTGCACGACTACACGACTAGTCTGTGCAAGCCCTACTGTCATGTGAGCTACAAAACTTCCTACCCAATCATGACTTCTATTCCGTGAAGTAGTCGCAAGTATCCATATTATTAATGAATATTGTCCTGGCAGAAAAATTGGCAACACATTTTTCTGTTTTTCTATGGAATTTTTTTCTCACCGATGTGTGTTTGTTATGTCACAATCTCCAGCTGTTCCCCCGGGGGTAAAAATTGGGGGTGTGTATTTGCTGCCTTTTACCGCTAAGAAGTAGCCTGGCTAACGCCAGACCACGTATCATTGAGAATGATACGTGGTCTGGGAACCACATGTTCATTTTCTCGTATTTGAGGCGTGGTTTGCGAATGCCCAGAGCCGTTTATTGGGTGCTACGAATGTCTATTAAATGCGCCTGCACGTAGCTCATAGCCAATCGTTTCAATTATACCAGATGACGTATGTAGAGTGACAGAAATTCGACGAGGAAGTCGACGATGGGTCAGAGATTTATGTGTACACGAAACTACCATGAAACTACTTAGAACACTATCTAATTAAGGCTGCATCGAAAATTAACTTTGCGTTTGCTGCCATGTTGGATCCATAGATATAAACAAACTGCTTCGGTGTGTCGTCATCGTCTTGCTTCTCCCTCCTCATTCTGTGATTGGTTCCCTAGATGAGGCGAAAATCTGGACCATGGTATCCATAGTCCAGTGAATAAAATCGCTCTGCACAAAGGCAGTATGGGGAAACCCAGGCTAGCTAAGAAGCACTATAATCACAGACTTTGAAAAGGGTCAGTTTATTCTCTCTATTACGTAATCTGCCGCGGTGCATTGAGAGCTGTGGTAGAAGTGGAATCAAGTGAAACATTTAAATCAATCGAATTTATAATCACAATACTGAAATTATAGTGTAAATTTAGAACTGAAGGCTTCTATTACTGCAAATTTAATGCACGTTAACATTGTGTGCCCAGTTTGTCTATAAAGGCTATGCATGTCAATAGGTTATGTGTCTTATACTTCGTGTTATTTTAATTTGTTAGTAGATTTATTAACTTAAATATATGTGGCCATGTAAACATGTTCACTATAAAAAACTCAAACATAGCCAGACATCTAAAAAAGGGATTCTTGATTTCCGACAGCGTATAAGAAAGAAAGGTTAACACCTGAGGTTTCCGTTTGTGGGTAGGTGTTTGAACAAAATTTAGAAACACGCTCCAATAAATATACAGAAACCTTCCCAAAAATAAACCAAAGTATACAAACTCTAAGAATCTCTAAGAATACTTAAATCCGGAATAAACAACGGCAGTGGCTTTTTATGCTTTCTGGATAAATAACAAAACACAGAAACATTATTAAAGATACATTCTCATAAGCCACACACACTTATAAGATCAGAAGTAAACACATTTTACACTCTTCACATTGTAACAGTGACATTACTACAGTATATTCAATTCCATCTTTAAAGATAGAGTATTAATAAACTTGAATGACATCAAAAACAGTACCTAGCTCTTAATCTATTTTCTTTAACTGAATATAAACAGCTACAATCAAGAATAAAATAAATGACACTCACTCTATGCTGCACCGCACTAGAAAACTCACGCAGGTGTTAACTCACATGTGCACTCAGGGCCGTAGCTAGAGGATTCGGGGCCCCCTGAAAAAATATTGATGTGGGCCCCCACCACCCTCCACCAATATCATATACTGTACAATAGATGAACATGGAGGCCCACATAACAGAAGATGGTGATGTTGTTGTAAAACCTTTATTTTAAAAGTTAAATGTTTATAAAAAAATTACAACTAATAAAAACTAACAAAAAGCAAGAAATTGTTAAATAATAATAAAACCAATTTTTAAAAAGTAATATTTTTTTTCCCCATCAGTCTGTTATAATTCATAAATCAAAAAGTAAACATTTAGAAATTGACAAGAATGCAGTCTAATTAAAAAAATAAAACCATTCATTGTCTTATTTTTTAATAAAGATAATATGGAACTGGTAATATTATTAAATAAAGCGAATACATTTATTCATTCAAGTGCAGTGTGTTGTATTCGTGTTTTCTCGATGTTTTAAATATCATCAGCCGGCAGGTCAGATGCATAATGCATTGCGTCGTGACTCGTGTAATTTTTTTAAAACTCTATTTTCAATAGTGTAAAAAGACAGGAATTTAGACCACGTAATCATTCGGTCGATTGCGGCGCGCACCGATAATAAAAAATGACTGTACACGGCAGACTGTAGACGGAAGTTTTCTAATTCCCAGCGAAATAACAATAGGCTATATAACTGGTCTTTAAGAACGTCTTGATCGACTAGGATACAACCACTCTCCTTGCCTCCCTCTCCGTCTTTTCCTGGCATTTCTGGTACCTGATTTGTTTTCTTTTCCCCGACATTTTTCAGTCAGTCAGTCAGTCTCCTGCTCTTCCACCAAGTTCATCGTTAACTTCAGGCTGCCGCCTCAACTCTGATTGGTTCTGTTCACGAGCTGGGGCGGGACTTACAATTTTATTGGGTCCATCTGATGTTTGTCACTGACTCTGACTGAATAATTAATAAATACTTTAGGTCGGACTAAACCATTTTTATGCAGGTAAGAGAAGCAGATATTTGGAAAAATATTTACCCAAATCGCACGTTTTTGCGGTTTTCATTTAAATCTCAGGCATACAACTAATATAAATATTAGAATTATTCATACAACAGGGGCCTAAATAGTATAACTGCTGGATTTTGTGGCGCCCCCTGGGCAGCGGGGGCCCCTATAATTGTCACCACCTTTCACCCCACTAGCGACGGCCCTGTGTGCACTCATGTGTACTCATTCTCCCCTCTGATATTATTTTATCTAAAGAGATAGAAGTATTGTTTACGTTTAATCAACAACACCACATGACCTACGATCGTCTCAGTTGCTTACGTAACCTCGGTTCCCTGAGATGAGGGAACGAGTATTGTGTAAGGCTAGCTTATGCTATAGGAAAACGATACTCGGTTACTGACGTAACCTCGGTTCTCTCTAGAGAGGGAACGAGTATTGCGTAAGTTTAGCTTACGCTACGGGAAAGATTCATCTTCTCGAGATATTGAAGCCAAAAAAATATCCTTAATTTTGTAAATGTACAACTTGTAACGACTGGAAATAAGGTGTGGCCCCTTTAAGAGCTGTGCGCTCCCTGTTGAACTGTCGGCAGTATTGTATTGTATGTGCCTTGGGCCTCGAACACCCCTTTTACTGTCTATGCAAACACCCCATGTATGCGGGTAATTTCTGTTTGATGCTAATTTTTATCTTATTTTGTTTATTAAGTAGGCTAACGATGTGGACGGTAGAACGTGTGAAAGACAGTTAGGCTACACGAGTTCGATTTGGGAATAAAGTGCGAGTTGTGAGATGCCAATCGCCTCCGTGAGTCTGTCTGGCCTCTGCATGCAATATCTTCAGTTGTGAGCTATCCCTAATCTTCCTGAAGCAACGCGTTACAAACTGTACTTCAGTTTCATTGCGGGGACACCACCTTCACCTGCCATCATGTCTATCGGCTCGCTTTCGGGTTAAACTTTCCGCGACTGCGCAACTGGGTTATAGGTTGCCAGGTTGAGGTGACAAACGGGTTGAAATTGTAAATGGTCTGTGGATTGTGTGAATATAATGCATTTAATACAATCTGGCAACTGGTCAACATTAGACAAACATATTGGTCCGATTATTCATAAAGGAGTTTGGGCCATGCAAATTACGGGAGTTTCCCGGGAAAAATAACAAACCGGGAGGGGTCCGGGAGATAGGGCTAAAAAACGGGAGAAACCCGGGAAAAACGGGAGTGTTGACAGGTATGGTTTAGCCTGCAAGGCAGGAACTTCCAGGTTATAAAACCTGACAAAGGTAGACGGGGAGCTCCAGCCCGCTGCTACACATATGTCATGGATAGAAATTCCACTGGACCATGCCCACGAAGAGGCCACGCCTCTCTTGGAATGAGCCCTGATGCCCAGAGGGCATTGCAGACCTTTTGACGCGTAAGCGGCTGCTATAGCGTCCACTATCCATCTGGACAGGCTCTGTTTCGAGGAGGCGAGACCTTTGGTGCGCCCACCGAACGAAACAAACAGCTGTTCCGAACGCCTGAATGAGGCGGAGCGCGTAATGTAAAACCTCAGCGCTCTGACAGGGCAGA